CCACATCTTAACCATTAGCCACAGGGTGTCTTCTTTTCCAAGGGAGTCCTGACTCCTCCCCCGCTCTGCCAGGCTCCCGACTACTTCATTAAACACCTGTCCTGCAACTGTGCTGCAACCTTGTTAGGTACAACCCTGCTTCAATCGCAAAACCCACATTTCCGGCAGCAGACCCAACGCCTGTATGGAAAAAATACACAAGCACTTACGTCTCTGTATCCGTATTGGAAATGATCGCGAGTATAGGGGCAAAGTGGGTGTTCGTGCATGCAGCTGCCACTTGACGTGTTAACTATTTACATACGTGACTTCACACAACATTATGCAGCTGCAAATAGATATTTACACATGACATTTGTACCTCTGCTTTTAAACTTTTGGGCTACATCTGCACTGCAGGCTTTTTGAGCAAGAACAGCTGTTCTTGCGCAAAAACCTGCAGAGCGTCTACACTGCATGTGTGTTCTTGCACAAGTAAATTTACAGTAAAGTATCAGAACAGAGGGCTTCTTGCGCAAGAGTTATTCCTCTTCCCACACGAAGGCAGTGTGGACTGGAAACAGGTTTCTTGCGCAAGAAACCCCTATTACTAAAATGGCCATCAGAGCTTTTTAGTGCAAGAGAGTTCACGCTGCCATGGACACTCTAGTGCAAAAGCACATCTCTTGCACAGAAGCACATGGCAGTGTAGACACACTCTTGCTCAAGAAGTCTGCAGTGATGACATAGCCCCTGTTCTTAAGGTTGGACCAAACTCTGTCCTTTTTGGTGTGTTATACGAAACCTTGGTTCTTAAGCTTGGACCAAACTCTGTCCTTTTTGGTGTGTTATACGAAACCTTGGAAGTAAATGACATTTGTCAGGATTGACATTGAGGCAGAACCTGACTCCTCCTTTCCTTCTTAATCAACGGATATTTCTATTATTGCACAGACCTTCTTATGTCTACTATGCTGTACAAATCATAATAATGTCAATACTATAGGTGTTGAGTGTGTTGGCGAGAGCAGGGCTGTTGATAAACTTTGTATAGTGCTCATGCTGAGAGTCTTTGAACCAAACTATATACGATTGAAACCATTTCAAATCACAGGTGCAGCAGCAACCCCAGCACTCATAAGGTTCTATTGTCAGGGAGTGATTGTCTCACAAGCTTTCCATTCCAAGAGGTGCAACATTTCTACAGTTTGCCAACTTGCATTCTGGACTGGTGCTCCACTCCTGTCTTAAAAGCAGAGATGCATTTCAACTATTCTTTTTGACTAGTGTTATGCAACCAGTTCATTAGGCAGAACTACACTCAGGGCTGAGGGACAGCAAGGGTACATGTAATTGAATTATTTGGGACTCAAACCTTTTAAGTATTCAGCTTCCATATTCTCTAAAACAATAGGGCTACATCTACATTGTAGGCTTCTTGCACAAGAACTGTTTTGTGCAAGAGTTCTTGCGCAAAAGGTCTTGCTCAAGAGCGCATCCACACTGCCACGTGCTTTTGGGCAAGAACGTCCATGGCAGTGTGGACGCTCTCTTGCGCAAGGAAGCCCTGATAGCCATTTTAGCCATAGGGATTTCTTGCACAAGGAACCCCTGTTGTCTGTCCACCCTGCCTTCTTGCACAAGAAGGCTTATTCCTCGTGGGGAGAGGAATAACTCTTGTGCAAGAAGCTCTCTGTTCTGATGCTTTACTGTAAATTTACTTGCACAAGAACATGTGTGCAGTGTAGACGCTCTGCAAGTTTTTGCGCAAGAATGGCCTTCCTTGCGCAAGAAGCTTGCAGTGTAGACGTAGCCTAGCAGTGCAACCACTGCTAAAAACAAATCATGTCCGGACTTTGAGTGTCAGTAGATCTGACTGGACAGTCAGGTCCCCTTTTGAACTAGACATCTGGCACCCTACTTGCTATATGCTGTTTTTCTTCTTATCCAAATGTCATCATGAATACTTATCCTTGATGGACATTCCAATATAGGCAGATTAGCATTTTTTCTCCTTGAATCTGTGATTGCTCTTCCAAAATTTAGACTGGTAATGTTTGGTTTTTTTGAGATGTTTATCTGGCTTAGCTCTTTTGTAATAAAAAAACCCTAGCGTTTAGAGAAGCTTCCTTGTTTACTTTTTAACTAGGAGGGAGTCTTACAAATTCAGAATCATTTCAAAAGGCAATCCTGTAGAAACTATACTCCACCTATGCTACTACATAGCCACAATGGAATCACAAATGCTAGTTTCACAGTAGGCTTACTTTTGCAATTGACTGGCAGTGGAAGGAAACACAAACCAAACCCTCCAGCTGTGTGGCAAGCAGTTATGTAAATGAGCTTGGTAGTGCCTGTATGCCAAAAAAAAAAACAGATTTTTTTTGACAGTTTACTCACTTCCCTAGGCCTGAGAGCTTTCTGGAATGACCTCCCTGTGCAGACCCCCTGGGAAAAATGGAATAATTCCAGACCTTGGTGTTGATTTATAGGCTACAAATCTTGTGTGAATAGTAATACAGTTCAGTAAGGATTGCTTTCCTGTAGTAGTAAACAAGCATTGTCTTTAAGAATAAAACAAATATATCCCTTTTTCTCCTCTTTCTCTGTGTCACTGTAGG